GTCTCCATGGGGTAATAACCTGTGGATTCAAAAATGATATAATTGCTATTGTAATAATATTGAAAAAGTACTAGAATTTTGTCTGATTTGAAAACATGTATTCTTCACCACACCCTGTACCAGTTATATCATCAGGCACAAAGATAACAACCTCATCATGAGAGCCAAATTTAAATATTCATGAAGGATATTTTTCAATTCTCAATATTGGAAGACATTTTTTGTAAAACAAACTCCATTTTTATATTGTAAGTTGAAGTAGTTTTTCTGTGAGTTTTGGTAGTTTTCCTGCAGGTGACATATTCAGCTGCCTCTTGTGTTCCATTACTGAACAGACATACATCTGTTAAATAGGTAAACCTTAATGTCAATGCTTAGCTTTCAACCCACCTTAACCCCTGGATACAGTGCATAATAAGTCATCTCAAAACGCACTTGATCATTACCCTGTTAAATAAATTCATAAATTAATAGTCACCATTAGTCAAGTGAAAGTTATTGGTTCTTCAAGTACTTAAGGTTACAATTCCTTGATTAGCACTAGGTAAAAAAATAATGTATTTTCAACTCAATGTTACATCAAACAATTTAAAGAAAGTTGTGAAAACACAGACTACAGACAACATGTACATTCAGTAAATGCTTGAACCAAAGTGGCAAAACAAATCATTTTGATTTGATGACAGCTTCAAGCTACAAAATTGGGATCACTGGGTATTTTTATGGTTCCAACTGATAAAAAACCCTTGATTCCAACATGGCTGCAAAGATGGCAACAACCTTCACTGAAAGGGATCTTGTAATGTACATAAAAAAAATTATGCGTTTCTGATCAGCTGAAAACAAGTGCATTCTCATGTAACACAAGCACAAAGTTGTAACATGAATACAAAGTTGTAACTCAAGTGCAAATTACAAATAGAGCAAACATGCTTTCAAAATTTTGTCTGCCTTGACTCTCTGTGATGTTTTTTCAAGTACATTATTAACAAGAAATATAACATGATTTCTCTTGTAATCTGGTGTTATAAACATTTGTACATTTTTCAAATACTACAAATTGCACTTGACCTACGAGCTTGTGCAACTTTGTTATCTTTGAAAAATTTACCCATGCTTATCAACACAAAATTGCACTTGAAATCATGTTATTACCTATCCTAATTTTACCTTTCCTGTAGCACCATGGGACACATATTCTGCACCCTCACGAAGAGCAATCTGGACTTGACGACGAGCAATGCAAGGCCTGGCAACAGCTATGACAAAGAAATTGTTGAAGTAGAAGTTGTAAAAGTAATTTTTTGGAGATTTTTATTGAATTCAACACCAAGTAAAAAGTCAATATAACATCTACCTGTTCCCATCAAATAGCGATCTTCGTAAATTGCATTAGCTTGTACAGCTGGAAAGATGAACTCTTTGACAAATTCCTCTCTCAAATCCTCAATAAACACCTGTGGTACAAATTGGAAAAAATACGCTTTTCAAGGGCTATTGTACATAATGACTTCATGTTTGGAAAATGATGTTTTATAGCTGCCATTCAAAAAACATTATTACAGGTAAACAATTCAGTGAGAAAAGAGTCTGATAATTAGATTCTAATCTTCAAGTATTCCCTCTGTAAGGGCCAAGATCAAATTTGTTTTCATACATGTAAATATTCGATTGTGGAAGAAGTTGTGGGGAAGGGATAAATTTGCATTCAGACTTTGAGTAGCAGTAAGGCAAAAAGGGGAAGCAGTGAAACAATCCAGGACCCAACAGGATGGTAAGAGACCCTTGGATTCAAATCCAAGTTACACTGAACCCAAAACCACTACAAGTGTAAGATACCAATGAGCTCTAAATACAGGACTTTGTAATTAACTTATTTGAAAAGACTCCAAGATGTTAACATCAGTTAAAAGTTCTCAACACCATCAATTTGTCCCTGGTGGAGGTTGAGGGGGTTAAGGTGGGATAAGGGTACAACTGCGATCCCTCAGTTCAGACCTTATTCAACCCTTTGACCCCAAGGAGCAACTAGCATCTAATTTCTCCTTACAATATCATCACTGAATCAAATATTAATCTCACAAGAATAAAGGAAATGATCACCAACTAAAGAAGCTCTTGATTGGTATAAAAATTCTCTTTGTCAGCTTGTTAGGAAATGTATAGAGAACAGTATGGAGAATATACATGCTGATATAAGGGTATAAATGGTTAAGTCAAAATCCACTAGTTTCATAACCCTAATCACAGCAAAAAATTGTTACAGATTACCGCAATTCAACCTGATTTAGGTATGTTGAGAATTTTTGGGAATTAGGTTTGAAAAAATTGTTAGTACTAGGGATGGAGACCGCGCACCACCCTCATTTTACATCCTGTTCAAGACTTCTGACCTGATAAGACATCTTATTCATGACAATAAATATTGAGTTTATATAACCTGTTAAAACTCATGACTTAAAAACCATGCCCTATTTGGTAGCGTAGACCTGTTTGGGCTGAAATAGGGAGTGCACACTTTCCCTCCTTAGCTTGATTTCTACCCTTTTCACCAGCTCAGTCTTCAATCATCACTTGATTTAGGAGGGAGGGGTTGCTCATTTCCTGAAAAGCAGCTGATAATCAAGCCTACCTTCTCCCCCCCCCCTCCCATGGGCTTTTATTAAATCCATTTGATTTACTGCTATTTGGTTTTCAGAACCTCCAGAAAAAAATTAATAGATCATTTAGACCCAATTATTGTTATGGTGGTCATGAAAAAATGTTTGTTACCCTTTGAAAGAGAGCCTTTTAATTTAAATCCTGCAAGACCATGCACATAACCACAAGATTTTTACAAATGACACAAAAACTTATACTTATAAAAACCCCAAAATTAAGGATTCCTAATTATTTATGAAAAAAAACATCCCACCAGATACTCTAATATTCTTAACTAATATTGACTCTCCATGTGGTAAATATAGAATTTACAAGTGGGCAATATTTAAGAAAAACCAAGAAAAAGTGTAAACTAAATCAAATTTCTCAAAGTTTACACAAAGTGAAACTGGTGTACCAAAAGCGCTTGTTTAAGGCACCTGGCAAAGAAGATCAATAAATCTTTATTTATCTTTTCAATTACCATAATTTCCATTACAGAAAACCCATCCTTACTCAAACTAAAAATTGCGGTTTTTTGGGCAAACGTACGATAGCTTAGTTAACCCACAAAAAGGTTTCAATTTTAATTCAAAGCTCTGGAAAATGGCTTTGTACTGCATCCTCCAAGAAATATCTTTTACTGAATGCTTTCATTGAGAAACTAATTTTACCAACGTCCAGTGAATCGAAATCAAAATTTAGTTTACACTTCACGGTGCGTTTATCATTATAAATACATGTAATCTTTCATAAAAAAGAGCTATTATTACGTGGCAATTCAGGGCAACTTTGGATTATCGCTGACCTTTTTTGCGCCCAGTTTTGTGGCCTTCGCCCTCGCCTCCTCGAAATCTTCATCTTGTCCCACATCTGCCTGAGAAAAAACAACAATCGAATCAAAAAACTTGAATCTAGGAAGACTTAGTCAATATCACAGCATGAGTAGGTCGTTTCGAAAGAATTGAATAAGTTTACTGTTTCTCTAGGTTACCGTAACTCACGCTTGACTTCAGCTACTGTACAATTTTTTATTTCAATTCCTAAAGCTCACCACATGAGTCCAAAAAACTCAAATCAAGACGGGTTGTCTTGTTCACGTCGAAATCATCGAACAGACAATCGGATTCAATGAAAATAAATTTTACCGAGACAGTATAAAATGATAAGCTTCGAACAGATCGAGCGACTCGTTATCCCGTGAGTATCACGAAACAAATTCCTCTTACCATGAATGCAATAACTTCATACCCTTGTTCTTTGAGCCAAAGCAAGATACAAGATGTATCAAGACCTCCACTGTAGGCTAGAACCACGGTCTTTTTGTCCTCAGACATGTTCAGTATACCCTTACTTCGAACTGATAATACCACATGAACTTCAGCCTAAACACGAAGGTGATTATTCCACTTCTCCAAATTTTTCCTTCTGGCGGTCTTATTTTCTCTGCTCTGATTGGTCAATTTGATAGCCATCGCGAATGATTGGTTGATGGCACTGGTCCCAGCTGATTTGGGAAACCGCTGCGTTGGCGCGAAAAATGCATCTTGCGTAGAAATAACTCACTTAACCCTTTAACTCCCCGAAGTGATTAACACGTAACTTCTTCCTATAATATCCATACATTATCCAGCAAACAGGTAATGAGAATACTCCAGCTTATCAAGTAGAAGTTTTTAACTTGTTCAAACACCAAATTCTTGTAACTATCCTACAAGGAATTGTGCAGCAGCCAGAGAGGAGAATTAAGAATCAGATCCTGGGAGTTAAAGGGTTAACAATTGGTTATAACATTTTCAACCCCATGGAAAATTTTTTTCTCGAGGGATTTGTTTGCTGATGTCATGTCCTTGCACAATAGGAATATGAAGCACGCTCGCGCAATTGAATTTGATTAAACAAATTTACTAGCTATGTTATAAAAGTAATTGAAGTGTGAGAAACCCTTATGTTTATATATCTTTTGGAGTATCTGTCCAACGATTTCTGCGTCCTATCTCAGCTCGGTTTCCGTGGTCAAAAATAGACAATAAGTTAATTGTTAAATATCGCTGGCAGTGAATACTGTGTTCTGATTAGCTGCCTGGGCGGGCGAAATCGTTTCTACCCAGGATTGCACGCTAAGATTTTGCGCAAGCAAATCTTGTCCGCGCGGAGCGGACTTACAAAGTCCGTAACTTTTGGACAATGTCGGCGTAAAAAGCGGCAGATCGTGGGAAAGACTGTCGAAGCTAAGAAAATCATAAACGACTCCTGTTGATCTAATGCTACAAACTTGCTACAAAAACAGTTGCCTTTCTTTCCCGGACCTCGAAATAAACAAGTCATTTTTGAAAATAAAGTGGAATCTTTTTGCTATGTTATAATCATTTATTGACCAAGTTTATTTGGTTAAGATGGCTGGATACTTCCCTCGTTTTTTTCGGCGTTTTTATGGTACTAACAATTTTTTCTCACAGAATCACCCCTACATCAAACATCAGGGTCAAGAGAATACAGGAAATGGTTACCATCTGAAGAAGTTCTTAATCATTCCACAAATTCTCCTTGCCAAAACTATGGGAAATGTATGGAGACAGTAGGGAGATTATGCAGACCAATGTTGGGGTGTAAAGGGTTAACTCATATTATGTAATTAGGAGCCAGCTTTTCTTTTCTTGGTGCAAGATACAGCGAGTGTTACAAGATGTTAAACATACAGAAAATGGAGTAAAGAGTAAAACAAACACTGGTCTAAAAGCCAAACTGTCTGGCTTTTGCATAACTTAGAAAACGTAAACATCCATTTTGTTCTAAGATAAAATCTCCAAAGAACACTAAAAGAAATCCCTGCGCATTTAACTTGTACCATGCTGATTGTACAATCTCCAGCTTGTTTGCGAAGGAACACGAAAACACACATATTGATAAAGAGATTCGTTAGCATTTTGTATTTTTTTATCCTATGATCAACTAAAACTGAGTTTTATTGCGATTAACCGCTTAAATCTTTCAGTTCAGCTCATGGCTTCATCAAGACTTTTCCTGTAGATTTTCCACTTTCCAACAACTCGTAAGCTTTCTTTCCCTCAGACAGTGGTAATACAGTAAAGTCACCAAACTTCACTTCGCCTTTCTTGATCCAGTTCAACACTTCAGAGCTACGCCACTTCAAATCCTCTTCCTTTTTGATGTGGTGAAACAACGAAGGTCGGCAGACGGAGAAGGAACCTTTGGCGAGTATGTTAAGATCTAACGGAGGAGGAGTCCCGGAAACTACTCCAAAAGACACCACGATTCCTTGGACAGCTAAACACTCGAAGTCTACAGCGGAACAGAAAAGATAAGTATTAGTGCGGACAGGTTTTAAACATTTCTACGTGAAACATGAAATGGAAGTTTTCATTTTTTGTAAATCTCACGAAAGGCAGTTTCAAGGGGACTTCAATGACCTGTAACTTTAACAATCCGTTCCCTTTAACCCTTAAACTCCCATGAGTGACCAAGACAGAATTTCTCCTTACAATATCAAGCAGATAAGTGATGAGAATAAAGAAAAATATCAATTTGGGGATAATTAGTTGATACAATAATAAATTCTCTAAACTAACATTACAAGTGTTGTATTGTTGACATTAAGGAGAATTGCAAATTTGGTCTGGGAGTTAAAGGGTTAAACATTAACCTTTGAATTTAGATGATCGCAATGATTCCTGCCTTCTTGATTTCATGGATTAAATATACAAAATGGTTTAAATTTTTTTTTTTGGCACCTGTCCCGTACATCATGAGTAAGAAGTAATAAATATGGGTGTATAATTTAGCTCATTAAGTAATAAGTAATGGATCATTCCATTGTACTAATTTAGCTTGAGACAGGTCAGATTATTATTAAACTTGAACCAAAAGTTATAAATGTCCTTTTTGATATTTGATCCACATCATACCTTTTTCAAAGGTTTTTTTTCCAATACCATCATAAATAACATTCACCCCTTCTCCATCAGTGATCCTGTTGACCTCTTCGGCAAAATCTTTCTGTGAGTAAAGGATGACCTCATCAGCACCAGTCTTCCTTGCCTTTGCTGCTTTGGCCTCAGTGCTGGTTGTTCCAATCACAAATGCTCCTGATAAATGTTGAAATTATGGGCTTGAAGGAGTTTCGTCTATAAATCTCAACTGAATTGACTAGATAATTACATGATCAACTTGGCAAGATTAAGAGCAGTCCAAGCACAAGTAAAAGGAAATTGGAAAAAACTTTTCGGCCCCTCATTGACCTTATTTGTTTCAACTTGAAGCACTGACTGCACCCGAAAAAGAAGGTTGGCTGTGGGAAGTGTGGGAAGCGAATGATGAGAATGATAAGGTGATGGCCTACACAGGTTGCTAAATAGAGATTTGGGTTGCAGTAATTGATAACAGAAATGGGATATTTCATGCAGTTGTAAAATAAATAATAGAAACCTCCCAGAAATGGAGAGTGGAATAGACCTCTTTAGCTTGTATGTTTTGCTTACCCATTTCAGGTCTCAAAGGATTTTCCAGCTTTATCTTTTGTAAATTATGCTAACATATGTACATGAATAAGAGGAAATTTGAAAGAAACAGTTCTCTTGAGTATTGTCACATGACCTGAAATGGGTAAACAAAACATAGAAGCTTATTAACAATTATCCACCGAAGTGGAGGTGGCTAATTGATGAGAAACTCTTGATGCACAATCTTGTCTCATTGGCTGCTTGCAGGTGAATATTTTTTGCTCTTCACTTCCAAACTAGCCGATCAGTATGTGTAAAAAGCACTATTCATGTGGTATGTATTAAAGAGGTCTATTGGAAGCAAACTAATTGCTGACAAAATTATAGTAAGTCAATAAATTTTACTTTCCATGATTCTATCCCTTCCTACTGGCATCCACACTCCTCCTTTGGTGTGTCACTTACTATTCCCAACCTTTCTTTTAACCGCAAACTTAATCATTAAAACAAGTAGTCTAATTATGCAGCTAATAGGCTACATACTGTCTTTGAGGCTTTAACTACTGCCTACATTGCCCAGCTCCTCAATTCAAAATCATGTTTCTATACAAATTACTTTCAGAGAGCTTATCTTGAAGAGTTCTAGGGTGTGACACTGCTATTTTGGGGGGGATGCCTTCCTTGGTTACATTTACACTAGTCCTGAAAGCATCCCTTAAAAAAGATTCCACTGGATATCTCCAAACTGAAAACCATATACTTTTGTTACCTGCATTCTTTGCCACTTGACACACAAGAGACCCAGTCCCTCCAGAGATAGCATGTATCAACACCTTGTCACCAGGCTTCACTCTGCCAGTTGTATGCACAAGGTAGTGTGCAGTCATCCCCTGAATCATTGATGTAGCAGCTTGCTCAAAACTAATCTCCTCTGGAACTTTTACCAGTCTTGATGCTGACACTTTTGCATACTCAGCATGTGCTCCTGGTGATTAAAATTATTTAGAAACTATTTATGGTATCAGCCCATGTTATCGACTCAAAATTCAAGTTGGACTCCCTAACAGTTAGCATAAATAATCTAGGATTAGTCACTGGTTGAGCCACAACTTTTCAAAAATTTTGATCTTTCTATACATTTTCACTTGAGGCACTTTAGAAGTCATTCATCCAAGAGAGCCAATTATCATGTATTTTCAGCCTTCAATGTCATTTAGATATCTTTTTTGTAATCTATCTATTCTGGAGAAATATAATTTTGGATTAAATCCACAACCTCTCAAATCATACCTTAAATTTGTGAATTGACTTTGTAAACTTAACAGGCCTAAAGCATGGTTTTTACACAGGCAGTGGGTCTTACATATTTTCTATAAGCAGATTGTCTTCATCAAATAAATGTCCTTCAACTGCTGACTAGCTGCTTCTTGCTCTCTTGATACTGCTCACAAAAATAAATGTCCAGATAAAAGATTCAGCTAAATTCAAGATACTTTAGAATGCCGTTTTGTTTAACAACAGCTAAACTTTGTTTAAACAATCCACCTAACATCACCACACAAATTAAAAGTAGCTACATTGAAAGCACCTGAGACAAAATGAACACAAATTCATTATAAAATCAACAATCCTTTAATGGTAAACATGATAATTTTTCAATGGAAATTTTCTTGATGTACCCTCCATAAATAGACATATATAGGAGATTCATTCAGGTAAATGTCCAGGAGAGTGGAAGATTCATAACTTAAGTATTCTGGCATATACTGGTATGAATATGCCAAAGTTATTGCTAAAAAGGCAAGCTCTATTATTAGCTTACACATTTTTTTCAAGAGTCTTGTCATTCAATTGACACCCATATTGAGGTTAATGATTTAAATAAGATTAAGAAAGATGGTAAGTTTTTACCTCGGTAAAGAAATAGAGAAAGATTTTTTCTTCTTGTCATGAGTGAGGGACAAAGAAAAAATCTGAGTCCCCATAAGGAAATAAATGAAAATAAATAAAAATAAGCTTCAGTAATTACAGTTAGTCAACATTATAACATTATAACATTATATTACTGAAGTGATTGCTGTCACCTACAAGTAGTAGGTGCCCTGTGGTATTTCATATACTAAAGTTTGGTATTTTTGAGAACTTGTTGCTTATAAGAGGTGATTTGTGACAGAAGTGGTCAACCAGGGACATACCATAGCATCTAAAAAATAAATCATTCATTTACCAGATCCAACGACTGCATATGCTACTCTCTCTCCTTTAGTCACACTAGTGACATTAACACCAATTTTTTCCACTGTTCCAGCAGCCTCCACCCCCATTGTCAAAGGAAACCCTGATCCTACAGCTTTGAGAGGCAAAGCCCCATTCCTTACCAAGACATCAAGGTAATTCAAGCCACAAATCTCATTTTTTACCAAAACCTAAAGACAACATAACATAAATTTTAACCCAGAGGTACTCAAATTTATTTCATAATTGATTTCATACATAATGAGACTTCAAGCAAAAAAAAATCGAACCTCTAGTTGAAGATGTTAAATACCCAATGTTGTTAAATTTGACCACTTTATTGCAATTTTTTTCTCACAAACATGTCCAAAGGTCCTTAGCCAGTCTGTGTTTAATAGGCATTGAGAGGAGAAGTAGTAATCTTAACTTTCGCTGTTTTCACTGCAGCAAGATAAAGGAATACAGAAACACTTCAAATGTTTATTGTATGATATCTTGTTCTCTAGCTCTTACAAATTGAAGAATTAATTATCTGCATTTTCACTCTTCATTAAAAGTTTTTGGTTTTAAAAAGTATTTCAACTATTTTCAATAAAACTTCTTGTGGGATTACACTATTACTGTATTTCCTTGAATAAGTTAAAAAAAAAATTGCTAATATAAAGATGTTTATAAAATAGCAAGCTCTTAATGAAAAGGGATACTTTTATAATTCGGCTGTAATTGGGACTCATCAATTAAGTTAAAAAATCAAGTGGCAACAGAAAGAGGTTTTTTTTTGTATCCTTAATATTCAAGAAAGTGATGGAGTATGGGGGGGAGGAGGGCATTTGACATTTAAGGCCATGGGGACGGGCGCTTATCTGAGGGAGAGTGCCTATTAGATCGGTAAAACGTGTTGTGTTATTCGAGAGAATACGATGGGTGAACCGGGCAGTTTGCAGTCGCAGCCTTTTACGTAGCGCGGTCATGTACAATAAACTTGTACAGTCATTACCATCATTTTGCCAATGGCGCCTATAGCTTATCTTCACATGTTTTGCTTTACGAGAATCTCAATACAGTCAGGTTAATAATGACAATTGTCCCCTTAAAATATCCACTATTTTGGCTTAAATTACACGATCATTAAAAATTGAAACCGCCAATATGATTCAGCACTGCCCCACATGAAAGAGGCAAAGACCGAGACAGTTCTTAGGAGGGAGAAATGTAAAATAGACTAGTTTATTTACCTCTCCTTCTGCGGGTTCTGGCTTGGGAACCTCACTATACTTTAGTTTCGACGAGTCGCCGAACTCTTCAACAATCAGAGCTTTCATAGACATCGTTCTGGAGAAAATATGGACAGCTTTGCAACAATTGTTTGGGCTTCGAACACACTCTTGTCAATCTACACCAAAACAAAGAGTTCGCCGTCCTGTAACCTCCATCCCTTGCGTGACAGTTTTTTGGTGACATCATATTTCTAGGCGAAAGCTCGAACACGTTGGCAGAAATGTAACGCATTCACAAGTTAGTATTTAGTGTAAGAATTTGATTTTGTGCGTTTCGTCCTCTTATTAAGCTGTTCCTTTGGCTTTAAATGAAAAATTATAACCATTGCCTGGTTTGTTTCTCGTATTTTTCCATACATTTTATCAATTAGTATTACGACTTCGTGTTGTCAAATTCTGTCTGTATACCTGAAGTTAACAAATCGTACTCGTGCGATCTTGCTAATCACTCGCTAATGAGATGATTACAGGGGTGATGGGCAAAACACTGACCCCAGTCCAAGGACTACCCTAATGGACTACCTTTGAGTCATTTCGTATTTCGCTAGCCGCGACAATTAACATGAAATTTAGGCGATTATTTAATTAATTTTTTAACCATTTTAAGACAATAGCTCGAAGTCATGTTGCTTTTTTCAGTGTTGGTCGTGACGGAAGGGTAACCAAAGATGTTACATTGGAGGTCGGTGTCCCATGTCTTGTAAGCAGTTACGGAACGCTTAGGTTCGGTTATAAATTTTGCTGGCACCACTAAAGTGATAAATATACTGAAGTGCTAGTACTACTTAAGTGGTACTACTACTAGGACGGATCAATATTTGTTCCCGAGCAACCGAGCTCGAAATAGGTGTAGGACATCCTAATGATGTGCAGCAATATATGAATTAGTACTAATGATCAAGCTTTGACGGGACTATTGATATTTATCCGAAATTTTACGTTTGCCCTGGATGCGCAATAAAAGATAAATTCAAATAGTTTTTTGCAAGGCGCGCGTGACCGATTGTTGTGCGGAGAACGTTAAGCTTGTGTTATAACAAGAAAGTGCGTTTTTTTTGACCAGCAAATAATGAGCTAGAAGGATCTGGACTTTTAAAATGCAAAATGAATACTCTGCATAACTTTACATAGTTACATATGGAATTTATTGGAGGAAAATATTTGAAACTGAATGCCAACTATTGCGTTATAAAGACAACAAGAGATTATAAATTTCTTGGGCAGACCTTTCAAGCTGACATTGACGGATAATTCTTCTCATAAGTTTTCCGCTGAAGAGGTGTAGACACCACGGTCCTGGGATTGAATTTTCTTTAAGTTTAGACTCCTTTCTCCAAAGTACTTCCTCTCCTTTCTATAAAGGAGCAAACTGAGATGAAATAAAAAGAATTTTGAATGAGAAAGTCAAAAGTAAGTAACACAGAGAATACTTCTTTTGAAGTTTTTGCTGCTCTTTACAACAATGCTATTATATATAGTTTGGTATAGCAACATCCAGTCTTAGTTGATCTAACATCGCAACTATTATTAATGAAACTACCGATATCAATGAGTGATATTGTTTACAGAAGATTGACGTTATTTGATTTGATGTTTGAGCGCAATGCACATTCTTTGGGTCTTATTTCCTCTGCTATTTGAAGGGAGCGAGAGAGAGCAGTTACCATGGTTATCGTAATATTCCTATAATGCGCTAACTAGATGATAAGTGGTACTTTAACATGAGGGTAGCCCAGGGAGAGGGAGGGGGACAGGGGCTCCGGATCCATTTTGGAAAAGTTCACGCGTCACATGTACTTTAAACAGCATGCGTCATTTAATAGGGGAAAACTTCAAAGCTCTTTTCTTACGTGCGAGGTTAGGAGGAAATCATGAGGTTTTCAAGAAATGAACATAAAAAACTCACAGGTCACGTATATTTCAGGGGCAGACCACGCCTTACACTGGATCATAAAATTCACGAATCACTGTCTCGCCTTTCTGTAAAATCCACGGTGCATCACACGTTAGTTTTGGCGTTAACCAACTGTAAACAACAGAGAAGCCCATCTTATTTGGTTTTAGAAGCTGCTGGAGAATTCTCCATGCTTGCGCTCTTAACTATCTTACTACTGAGAGAAACTATAAATTAAAAACTGAGGAACTGGTGCAGAATTCCTTAACTTTGCCAACGCTCAGCAACATTAGGCGAGTTCGCAAGTTGGAAAACCAATTGGCCTTATTCTCCCGCAAAGCTATTAGGTTGGTAACCATTGAATGAAGAAGGTGAGGGCGGTCAAACTAACCAGCCTTCATCTTTCTTCTTTTTTTTTTTTGCTCTCACTTTACTAAGCGAAAGTTTCCTTACCTCATAAAACCAAACTTGAGCTATAATTATGACTCAAACAGCCTATCTTCTCCTCTATGGGCACCCATTTCGCATCTCTCATCTTTTCTCATTTTGTAAACATTAAGCATGGAATATTCGGTACTTACGTGGTCTGCTTTGTTTCTTTGCAAGTGTATCCCAACCTGTTTTGAAAAGCGCTTGTTATTTGCTCAGCTTTAAATGCATTTTTGAAAAGTGTTTTCAAACAAACCAATTCCTCTTTGAGGGTGACAATGGGTCCAGTAACCGTTAGCTGTAAACGGCAAAATTAGAAAAAAAAAATAGCTGGTAGGGGTAAAAAATGCCAAAGTTTAAACATGTAAATTTTAATTGCAACGCAAAGAAATTGACCGTCAGCCGTAAAATGAACGAAATTTTAACCGATAGCCGTTAACTTTGAGTTGCAAGAATTTTGCAACTCTTAAAAGTGTGTTCTTGTCAACCTACACTCCTGAAAAAGGACTGTGATAGATATCTACTCTTAAGGAAGTTAACTCCACCGTTCCTGTAACAAAGATACGTAAAACGCCAAATATTCCTCAGGCCGACAGCATAACCGATGCATGACGCTATGAAATAATTTTTCCGAGGTCCATTTTTCGTCTTCATCATGGCTCGCATCGGAGCTTTCGCCCACTGTCATAACAACATGTTTGGACCTTATTCGTCATGTGCTCAACTTATTACGTTATTTTTTTAACTTAGCTTCCCAAATTGAAGCTCACATCTCCGAATGAATCTGCTTCCTTGCTGACGGAAACCAAAGCGAGAAGTGATTATGGTGTCATAGAGGGTAATGAAGCAATCTAGTGCTGACGTCATTGATCAGCTGATTGTTATGGCGGGAAATTGAGTGTAATTGACCAATAACCCGAACTCTTTCTTGATTGAGCAGCTCTGTAATCAATCTGCTTCTTTATTTCATTAACGAACTCAAAATAACTGACTTTAATTTCTTGTTCTGTTTCCTCACATGACGCTTTTGACATGGACATCGTAGCAATTCACAGGACATATCATAAATTAACCTAGTAATGCCCTGTTTATGTGGCTCGTTAGTGGACCACAAAAACCACCACTTAAATGGCATCACAGACACAAAAATCCACAAAATACGACTGTTCAACCGCAAACTCCAATTAGCCCACGTGATAATCGTATCCGCCACTTGGTAAAGTTTACAAACTCAAAACAGTGTGCGAGCGCGCGCTTTGCCACATCGTTTCATTGCACCTACCACACCAGTTCAGTAATCATCTTTACAGTCCTTATCAGCATGTCACTGCTACGCTTTAAGAGTCTTAATAAGCTCGGAGCCAAAAACAGAGAAAAAAGTCAACATCTGAATAACCTAAGCCAGTCAAATAATTCAATTTATTTATAAATAATTTGAATGTTACCTGCTAAGGAAACCTGATGACTTATCAAGTGTGGGAGCTTTTATAGTTATAGTACAAGGCGATTGTTGATATACACGTGTTGGTGATTGAACTTTTATTCCATTTGAACGATTTTACCAAAAATGATGATATCAAAAAACTAGATCCAAAGTAACCCCATCTTGTCAATTTACAGCGGTTAACAACTGAGAACAGGATCAAGTCTAAACGGCCTCTTTAATTTTGATGTGACTGAAAACTTCCCTAAATAGTGGTATAATTCGTCAGTGAAGGATGTCTATGCACGCATTGCACGCACATTTCCTGGCCTCAATTTAAATAACAACGGTTTGAGCAAGGTAGTCGATACACACGATCTTATCTCAGCTTGGTTGTTACTGCGGTATGTGCATTAGCATTACTTGGTAGTTTATTTTTCTTTGTTTTCGTTGTATGCACGAACTACCAAGCGTTAGGTCACAAGGGACTCTTATACACTTAAACATCCTTTCATTATGCGCATTTTGTACCTTGATCGGTTAGTTTTAGTTCAGTTAGCGTCCAAGTTCAAGTTTTGCCGTTTCTACTTATACGAAAACGCCGATGAGGTTTGTATGTTTTGCTTATGGATTTTTATACCTTGGGCTTTTGTATTCTATTGTATCTGCAACATTTGTTCTTTTTTTAGCCGTTGAACCGACTCTTGAGGAAACGACATTTTTATTTTAAACCTGACCAAGACTGAGTGTATTGTCGGTGGACTGTTCAAGAATAGAGTGAAATTCGTGTCCGCGAATTCGTTCGTGTGCGGATCTTATCTCAGCTTCGGTACTTTTCTGAACAGGTTCCCATTGTACATAATAAGGAGAGAGGAGAGTGTTTTTCCTTATTTCACATTGTTTTCCGTGAATTTCTTAAAGGACAGCCAGAGAGCAAATGAAGGAAAAGTACTTAATTGTACGCACACACTTCCCCTGAGGAAAACTGCCGAGAAAGGAACAGAAAAAAGGAAAATTATCCACAGTTGCTGCAAATTCTAGCCAAATGAGTTTGCCATGGTGAGTTATTTTCCACAGAGAACGATCGACTAAAACAGATTTGGAATAACTCGCAAGATCTTGAAATCACACCCCTATGAGGTAAGAGACAAAAATTAACTATGTCCGATTTTTTGGTATTTAGCATTCCAACATTCAGTCACCGCATGAACTCTCCGTGAGATGTTTTCAATTACAGCCCACGGAAAGGTCTGTTTTCGTACATAATTGGGAGTAATCGTCAATCTTTTGACTGTCAGACACTTTAATTAATAATCTACACAGGTTTCTCTTCTCTGTTCGCTTTTAAATGGCAAGGAAATTCACTGTAAGTAAAATGAAATGAATGTTAAAAAAGTTTAATAAGTTATGATAATTAAAATGTTTGTTCCCTTTAATGATGCCTTAAAATCTTTGATTTCTTCAGCCGTAAAACTGACCTGGAATGAGGCAATTTCTCTGAACTCGAGGGAGCCATTGCAAATTCCATTCACTGAATTTCTTTAGATTCTACAACGCAATGGACAGAGATCAACGCTATGACCAGTAGTAAAAGCGAAATAAAGAGCAAGTTAAGAGAAGGACAGAACAAACCTGGTTAAAAAGGAACTCAAAATGTCATGACCTTGTGAAGGTGTTATTTTTTTTAAGAATTACAATGAATAAGGCTTTCTTCTCTTGCAAGGCGTA